GAGAGAATGTACAAGCACCACAGAGAGAAACGACACCTATTAGGTTCCTAATGGAATCTCTAAGGCTCAATGCTTTGTTCCAATATTCCACTCTGATAGTGTGCTCTCTCCCTGGACCTGATTATAAATTCTGGTGAAATTCTAGAGGAAACCAGTTTCTTGCTGCTCACTGAGGTGCAGTGTAAGTGCTTATTGTCCCCTCTTCCCCCTCTCTGTACTAAACAACCAAACAGCAAAGCAATCTAACACTTTACATCATCCAAGTCAAAGCCATGAAAGTGGAGAAATGAATCAGTGTTGATGTCTTCCTACAACAAAATCAAATGACATTCACACAGCGCCTTTCACATCAGGAAGACGTCCCAAGTCGCTGGACAATCAGGGATGTGGGTCCAAGCTGGGGGTTGGGATCAGGAGGGGTGGAGGGTGGGGAGGTTGTTCGAAAGCGCGATTGGTCAAAGAGGAGGGTCTTGAGACAGTTGAAATAGAGGGAGGAGGCGGAGGGACTGTGGGATGGAGTTCCAAAGGGTGGGGCCAGAGAGGCTGAAGGCCCGGCTGCTGATGGTGGGGTGGGCAGGGTGGGGGATGTAGAGGAGGCTGGAGTACATTCTGCATAATGTAACTGGATAAAAAATGACACCGGAGGAGTGTTTCGACCTTTAAGGTAAAGAGCATATTGCCCTTCATTTGCATAACTAGTAGAAAGGGAAAGCGAGTGAGAGCTAATACATTATGTATTAATAGAAAATAATGTCTTCATTAAAATGATGGCACAATAGAGTGAGAAGGTGAATGGATTTCGATTCTTTGTTTTTTCTGTATAAAAATTGCATTTGTTTTGCTTTTGTCCCGGCTCAGTCTGTCAGAAGGTTGTGGATTTTAACCCCCCACGTCAGGGACTTTGAGCTCACAGTCCAGGCTGATACTCCGATTCAGTGCTGTGCCCTGTTGAGGTGGTGTGAACGATCTCTACTACACGATTGGATAAGAGAATGGTATTTCTCTCCTGGTGTCCTGGCCGACAATCCCCCAAATAATATTGGTCCCTCACCCTGTGGCGCTGTGTGGGATGTTGCTGTGTGCAAATTGGCTGCCGTGTTCACCTATAGAATACACAGTCACTATATTTGACAGTAAATCCTGTGAAGAGCTTTGAGATGAAAGATGTTGGGTCAAATGCAAGAACTATTATCATCTACATGGTTGGCAAGTCGTTGAATTCAGTGTTAACTTTGAAGTTAGTTTCTTAAGAAAAAAACAATAGTAAACAGTTTTCAAAAAGTAGTGTGTGTTTAACACTGTGCCAAACTCTGGATCTTGTGAAACGCTAAATCAACAGAAAACCTAGACCCAGATAGAATTGCCATCATTTAATACATTTCTCTATCAGATATTTGTCTGATCCCCTTCACGACTGTGTGAACTATCATTCACCAGGTGGCAGCACACCTCTTCAGGTCAGTACAGAACATTCTCTCTTTCAACTCTTTATCGCCACCATTTTTTTTACCCAGAGGCAGGAGATTTTTCTTTTGTATATTTTTTAAATATATGCCTAGCTCTAAGTTTTTCTTGTTGGTAAATATTTATCTTCCAGTGTTGAGGGGCCTTAGGAGGGGCATGAATTGCCCTCTCCTTGGCCAAAAACTAATCCTTCACCAATTTAACAAACAGCAGTGTGTCAGCGAGAACACGACAGTATAGAAGGAGGCTGTCTGGCTCATCCAGTCTGCAGTGGCTCTCAGACAAAGTCTCCATTCAATCCCACTGCCCTGACTTTTCCCCACGCCTGTTCAAGCTCCTATATACCTGTCTCCTTTGCTCTTGAAACCCACAACGGACTCTATCTCTACTTGGCAGGTCATTCCACACACAACAGCAACAACTTGCAATTTTCCTTTCATACGGGATAGCGTCTCGGAACACAGTTCTCTCTCTGTATCATAACTTGGTATTTACCCAGTTGCTGACTCCCTCCTCTACCAGCGGAAATAATAATAATAATCCTTGCATTGAATATAGCGCCTTATCACGTCTTTACAGAATACACTGTAAAGTGAATTGTTTGTGGGTGAAAAGGGGCAGCCAATTGTGTACCGCAGTGTCCCACAAACAGTCGTGGATTGAGTGACCAAATTATTATTTATTTTTTGAAGGGATTATTACCCAATTCACAGCAATTCACTAATTGACTCACAAGCGGATTCCTACTTACTGCTAGTAAACAGAGGCATGTGTGTGAAGTAACTTCCCTAAGGTTTCGCCAGAGTCAATGGTATCAAATACATGAATTATTGCAATTGCAGCGCTCGCTATTGCTGCCCATTCAGCACAATGTGTTTGAGGATAAACGCTGACATGACAGGTTTCTATTGTATTATTCAGCTTCCCATTCGCCCATTGTGTGGAGCCGATTGCTCCCCACTTGTCACTGAGCTGCGTTGTGGCGAATGACTCATTAAAAATATCATTACTCGATATCAGAGTCTTGCTTCGCTTTGCCGTCTCAGCACGTTTTTCATATCTAATCAAGTTTGAGTAAAACTCCTGTTTTGACCCCGCTTTTCCTTCGTTCAAATGGCGTCAGTGATTAAATGTCTTGTGTGGTGGTGATTTAACAAAGAGACTTGTATTATCAGCAATTTAGAGAACATTTGATTTCAATCTAACCTTTCGGGCAAAACTCATTAGGAATTTATTACACATTCCATTGTTCGACTCTGGGTTCATAGCTCTATCTCGGCAGTCAAGTACTGAGAACAAATACTGGCATTCATAAATCTGTCCCATTTATTCCCCCTATTTGTATCTGAGGACTGATTTCAGAACACGGTGTAAACACAAAGCCTAATAAGGCTCAGAAAATAAATTGCGCAGCTCCCTGTTTGACACCCTGGAAACATGGTTTGTTTTATTATTTATAACTTATAATAATATCAGAAGAACCCTATATTTGACACAGCGCCTATAATGTCAATCTCTCAAAGTGGAGTGTGGAGTCCTGTAGCTCAGTGGTTAGAGCACTTGCTTCACTTGCGAGAGGACCCAGGTTTGGTTCGCAGTGGGTCAGGGCGAAACCTTAGGAAAGTTTCCTTACTCCACACATCTTTGTTTACCAGCAGTAAATAGGAACCCAATTGTTAGTCGATTGACGGATAAGGATTTAGTCACCCAATCCACGAGACTTTGTGCGACACTGCTGTGCGCAATTGCTTGTCGTGTTTCACCCACAAAATATAGTCAATTTGAGATTTCTCAAAGATGTGATAAGGCGCTATGTCAAATGCAAGAATTATTATTATTATAAAGAACTTCACTGGAATCGCTGTCAAATATAGAGACTGTAGGCAAACATGGTGCCATTTTGCACACAGAAAAGTCTCACAAGCAACGCCAAAATGAAAACCCAAAGAGAGAAATTCACTTCTCTTTCCCCATCAGCAGCACAGGATCTTTAACATCCGCCTAAACAAGGCACAGGCGGAGGCAGCATAATTCCTCACCCAAAGGACAGCGTCTCTGACAATGCAGTGCTCCCTCTCTAGGGCTGCGCTGGAGCATCAGTCTGGACTGTGAACTCAGTCTCCATTGTGGGGTTAAGCTGAGCCAAGCTGACATCTGGAACATACCAGGGGCCTTCATTTCAGCATCTCAAGGTTGTTAGTTGTTATAAATGGTCCTTGCTTGATTTCTGACACTTCTGCAAACTCCCATGAATCTTTATTTACCCAGTTCCTATCTATCAATACTGCAACTCCTCCCCCCAAATCAATTGGTCACTCCTGGCTGGTGTGGGACATTGCCCATCTCTTTCGCTTACAACATACAGTCACTACACTTGATCTCAAGAAACTGTGAAGTATTTTAAGACATTTCAATGTTATAGATCTCAATGATGTATCAAATGTAAGGAATATTTATTCACTATTATTTAGAAACTAGTTTGACAATTTGCACAAGACCCATTTTAGCACCCGTTTATTTCTGCTTTCTACTTTATCTTATAACTTTGATTTCTCTCAGGCAATGGGAGCCATGGTCCCAGATGGGAGGAGAGGTCAGGACTGTGCTTCTTAATGTGACTGTTTTAAAGGGATGTGGGCTCAAGGGCAGCTTGGTGAACAAACCTTTAATTCTCTCCAGTGGAAAATATAACATTTACAGTAGAAAATCCAATCATCCTGCATTGATGCTCATCGCCACACTAATTATAGTCAACACAAGTGTCAGCCCGGCTCAGTCAGGAGCACGCTCTCGCCACTAAGGCAGAAGATTGTGAGTTCTACATCTACTTCACCACTTGGGACTCACTGTGGTCACAGCTGACGTTGCAATCCAGTGCCGAGGGCGGGGGTGTGGGGGGGAGAAGTGCTGCCATTGTCAGAGGTGCTGTCCTTCAGATGAGGTGTTAAACCTCACTCCCTGTCTGTGCCCTGTTCAGGTAGACGTTGAAGATCTTGTAGCACTATTGAAAAGGGAGTTTCTCTCTCTCTCTCTCTCCTGGTGTCCTGCCTGTCACAAACCCCCAGATAAAATCGCTTGTTCATTTATAACAATAATAAAAATCCTTCATGGCTGTTTGCAGGTTGTCGCTGTGTGCAAATTGGCTGCTGCTTTTGCCTATAAAATGCAATCACTGCACTACAAATCCTGGCATTCTGCAGGCATCACACACACACACTCCGAAACCCAACCCGAAACAAATCCTGTGACGTCCTCCAGACGTGAAAGCCACTGTATCAAAAGCAAGGATTATTTATCTGTTCTGTGGTAATATCACACACTGACTCCAATCAGTCAGGGCCTGCCCGTTAGAAATTCACACATTATAAACAATAAAGACACAACGATGGCATAAGGTTTTAATATAAAAACACGTTTAGCAACACGCAAATACTCTTTAAAAACACTGTGCGTCACAACTTGTTTTCAATATACATATAGATATATATATATCTGCAGATATGAATACATATATCTATACATATGTGTACACATATATATCTGTATAAAGATGTATAGAGAGATATATGTATATTACACAGACACAGAAGTTCATCCAGACCAGCAGGATACTGTACATTATTAAACGGGGGAATCACTGGGTTGGTACGTGTTGTGGGGATGAGGAACCCTGGCTTGCTCCCGTCACCCAGCGCCGCCCTTTTGCTCTCACACGTTTCCAGTGGATCTTTATTCTGGTCTCAACAAGTCTTGTGGCAACAGTACTGTGGATGTCCTAAAACACCCGTCCCATGCTGTTCCATCCTGTGCTCCCCTGTCCCTGTCCCTATCCTGTCCCGGGATCACATCAGTTAACAATTCACCGAGCTTCTCCTGCTTATATCTGTGAAGGGTCAGAGGAGGGGCGGTGGTCCGGTCGGGGGAGGGGCTGTGGATGTGTGTGTGGGGGGTAGAAGAGAAGGAAAACCACCTAGATATCAGAGAGAGAGCTGGGGTCTAGCCTCTCTCCCTCCCCGCAGCTGCCTGTTCCTCTCTCGCAGGCATGTGTAGTCAGTCTAGTCCCGGGTTAGATTCTGCAAGCCAGCAGTTTAAAGGCACCACTACAGATGTTCGGTGGAGAGGGGAGTTGGGGATGACGGGGTGGGGAATCAACCACAAGTGTTCGGCTCCTCTGTGTAGCGTTGGCATGTGCCAATGTGGAGGGCTGGACTCAGTAATGTCCTGTTGGCGTAGCTCACACGGTGCTCTCGAGCATCCACTCAGTGCTGCTGAATGTGCCTCTCCGGTCCTCACAGTGTAACTGCTGCCCGCTGCCGGTCAGGCTTCGCTTAGTCCGGGCTCGCCTTGGGTAACTGTGGCTCTGGAACAGAGAATAATCTCCATCAAACGAGTGTCTATGTTGGGTTCTCGATATCTCGCGGGGCAGGAGAGATATATTGCTTAATTTAGCCGGTTTCCCCCGGCCAGGCAGAGTGCCCCGGCTCGAGCTAATCAGGCAGACCGACATGCTGGAGTCAGTCGTGCTTGCTTCTGTGTGTCCCTCCTCTGATGACGTCTGTGGCTCGAGCTGCTGCTGGTGTTGGTGCTGTCCTGTCGCGCCCGGCTGTACCCGCCTCCTCTGTGCCTGCGGTAAAGCTCCCTCTGTCGGCACGGTGACGGAGGCAGAGGCAGGCGGTGGCGCTGGCGGTGGTGTGAGCCCCACCAGCTTTCTCACACATCACGCTTAAAACAACCGTCTGCGACTGGTCGGGTAACTCAACCAATGCCTCAGGCACCGACTCACCTGGTCCCTCCGGCTTGGAGCAGGACCTGTCCAGGGCCCCATTGTGGCTGCCGTTGCCGTTGGTCTGTGAGTACACGTTGGTGCCCACAGCCTTGCTGTCGCCCAGGCCGCTGCTGTACACCTTGTATCTGATCATGAGGATGATGATGAAGACGAGGACCGAGGCCACGATGATGCCCCCGATGATGATGATCATGGTGCCCCCCAGGAACTGGGTGTGGACAGAGTGGCACTGGGTGTACTCCTGCTCCGTGGTGAAGCGCACACAGCCCACAGCCCGTGTGGCTGTCAGTGTGGTCATCCCGTCATCATAGACGGCCAACACACACAGCTCGTAGTCCCGGCCCGGAGCCAGGTCGTTCACCAGGAAGAGCTGACTTGTGGACGGGATCATCCTGAAAGGCAGAAAGGTGGGAATGTTAGGAGGACTGGGGCCGGAGAGAGACGTGGATTCTGTCTAGTATAGAATCCATAGCAATAGAATCATTCAAAAGAGAACTGGATAAGCAACTGAGTGGGGAGAGAGCTGGGAAGTGGGATTAATTATAAAAGGAGATTTGGCAGCACAGACATGATGGGCTGAGTGGCATGAAATACGCACATCTCCAGTAATCATTTAAACAACCGTATTTTCAGACGTGCTGGAAAGATGAGGAGCTCAGGAACCTGTCCCTCGGTGTAAATAACACTCTAGCTCTCAATTCTTGCCTCTCGCTGAAAGCTTATCTAATTCCCTCTTGAATTTGCCAACACAATATGCACCCACCACCTCCCTGCCTCATCCATTTCACACTCCCTGCTCGCTCGCTCTCTGTACCACATCATTCAGTCTGCGCTGTCTGCTCACCTGCCCTGGCCTGAGATCCAGTCCGTCTTCACTCAACAAAAATCCTCGCCTTTGTACAGCGGACGCTCTCAAGGCCTTTCACGGGTAGCAGTTGCCGAGTGTACTGACTGTGTACTTGTGGGAAGACATGCATTCTAAGCTCCAGCAGACTCCAAATCCCAGGCACAAGGTGAATGACTGAATTGATCACCTGAGCTGACACCCTGAATCCATCGGCCCTCATTAAATATTGAACCCAAACCCATGGAGTGTTCACCATTCTCTGGTTTTCAAAAGGCTGTATACTTGGCATAATAATAATAATAATCCTTGCATTTGATATATACTCCTTATCACATCTTCAACGCGCTTCATAGAATATACTGTACATTTTCCAGGTGAAATACGGCAGCCAATTGCACACAGCAGTGTCCCACAAACAGGCGCAGACTGAGTGATCAAATTATTATAATTTTTTTAAGGGATAATTACCCCTGGAAAAGCAATTGCCAATTAACTAACAACTGGGTTCCTACTTACTGCTGGGTAAACAGAGGCCTGTGTGTGGAGTAAGGAAATTTGCCCAATGTTTTGCCCTGACCCGCCCGGGAATCAAACCCAGGTCTTCTCGCTAGCAAGGCGAGTGCTCTAACCACTAAGCTACAGGAACTCCACATTATTCATCTACAGTATTTGTATATATAGACAACTCGTGCTTTGTTCCTTTTATATTCATATTTCATTTGCCTGTTTCATATCTCCTTTTGTCCTGCCTGTCACCAAGAAATGAGCTTGGCTGAGATAAAAGCAGATCCTGGAAGTGGGTGTGCAGTGTCGTGAGAGGTAGAACAAGCCACGAACAGTCTTAATCCTCCCAAGCAGGTGTGAAAGCAGTCACGAAGCTGAGAGCGTGGATCTAGAGGGAAGTGAGTGGGGGTGTTGTGGGGAGAGTTGGCGATGAGTGAGGTTTCACCTCATTTCACACCTGCCGTGTCACTGCTCAGTAACTAGTGCTTTCTGTTGCCAACTGTTAGCATCATCTCCCCTAAACACACCCTGTTCAACTGCAGCCTCCTCTACACCCTCACTCCCTTCAGTTATGTGGTTCTGTGTTTCAGTGTATGTTATGTAACACTGCATTGTACTGGGTATTACACACTATGTATATTGTATAATAACACACCATGTGTTAGTAATAATAACAATCCTTGTATTTGATAGAGCGCTTCATCACATTGTTGATGCATCTCAAAGTGCTTCACAGGATACAGTGAAGTGAATTGACTGTGTATTTCGTGGGCGAAACGCAGAGGCCAATCGTGCACTGCAGCGTCCCAGAAACAGTCGTAGATTGAGTATATTGAGTGTCACTGGCTATAACTGTATATTATATAATAACACACCGTGTGTTACTGGCTATAACATCAATGTGTGTTAATTGGGAATAACAAGATTGAATAAAGGGTACATGCTAGCATTTCGTACAGCCCTCATCATATCCTCAGTAAACGCTTCACAGGATTTTACTGCCAGGTGTAGTGACTGTGCAATTTGTAGGAAAACACAGCAGCCAATTTGTAAACAGCAACGTCCCACACACAGACGTGAAATACAGAGTGAGATAGCACAGAAACCAGCCAGTCAGTGCTGGTGGAGATTGCACACATTACAAAGGAGGACATTTATGTTTACAAAAGGAAACTAAAAGCAATCAATGGCCAGTCACGCCTCTGCCTCTCTGCATGTGTTAGCTCTGAGGCCTCTCTGCTCTCTACAGTCTTCTCTGTTAACATGCTCCTTCTGTCAAAACAACTGAAAGAAAGTAAACTCCATTGTTATAGCGCCTTAACATGCCGACACTTCGCAAAACACGTCATGGCACATATTTTTAACTGTAGATTTGGTAGGAAAACACGGGAGCCATTTTGCACCTGAACAGGACACAGACAGGAGCTCGGTTTAACATCTCATTCAAAGAACAGCAAATCTGACAATGCAGAGCTCCCACAGTGTCAGCCTCAACTGTGAGCTCAAAGTTCCAACTTGGGGCTTGAACCCACAATCTTCTGACTAAAGGGGTGAGAGCGCTACCAGGCAGTAATCCCAAGAGAAGGAAAACTGGAGCCAAATGCCTTGTCAGGTGGAGGGGAGAAGGGGTCAGTGAAGGGAGTGGAATAACAACATGGTCAGATTTGAATCACAATGTTCTGGGACAGGAGGAGGCCATTTAGTGGCTCTGAATCATATGCGGTCTTTATTTCATGAAACTCAGCAAAAGGAAAGCAAGGCTCCTTCAAGGCCCATCTCAAAACCCTCCTCTTTGACCAACAGCGCTTCCTACCCCCACCTCCCTGCCCTCCACCCCTACTGATCCTAACCCCCAGTTCGGGTACAAATCCCTGACTGTCCAGTGCTTTGGAACATCCTCCCAATGTGAAAGACTGTGTAAGTATTGTTGTTAATGGAAGCGGTCCTGGCGGGAGCTTACCTGTAGACCAGAGTGTTGTCGGACGAGCTGTTGTACTGGATCTGGTACATGCGGATGCCGGGGATAGAGCGCTGCGAGGGCCAACGCACCAGTGCTGAGGTGGTGGTCAGCTCGGAGGCCGTGACCTTCTTGTCCTGGGTAGACTTGGTGTCGCTGGAGTTGGAGGGAGCGCCAGGTTTGCTGGAGGTGCTGATGTCAGAGGAGCCGGGGTCGGGGACCTTGATGTGCTGGGTTAGGTTGACAAAGTGGGGCAACGGGATTATCCCGATGGTGATATTGGTGGCAGACTCGCCCGCAGCGTTGGAGGCGATGCAGGCGAACCTGCCGTTATCCTTGAGGGTGGTGATCAGGATGTCCAAGGTGCCGTTGTCGTAGATGATGGTCCGGGAGGTGTTGGAGACGAGTTTGCCCTCGGGCAGGCTCCATAGGATAGAGGGATCAGGATCGCCCACCGCCTTGCACTTCAAGGTCACGCCCTGACCCTCCATGACAAATGTCTTTGTTGCCTGGAGCCTGGTGATGAGCGGAGGCTCACAGATGAACTCCTCCTCAGCGATGGACCAGAAGTATTTGCCCATCAGGTGAGGTGGGGAGGCACACGTCTCCAGGTCGTCCTCTCGCATCAGACGTCGGAGCCAGAGCAGCTCACAGTTACAGTGCAGAGGGTTGCCCCCAAAGCTGAGCACCAGTGAGAAGGAGTGCGAGCCTCGCGTATTCACGAGCAGTTGGGTCCTGAGGAAGAGAGGGTCAGGAGGCAGCTTGTGTAGCCTGTTGGACGTCATGTCCAAGCGACTGAGTTTGTGCAGCACAGAGAAGGTGCCCTCCTCAATGTGATCGATCAGGTTGTGATCCAGGGACAGGGTGTTGAGGTTGACCATTTTGGAGATGGCCTCCCATGGGAAGGTCTCTAGGTTATTGTAGGACATGTCCAGGTCCTCCAGAGAGCCCAGGAAGTCGTCGAAGGAGCCGTCAGAAATGGCATTGAGCTGGTTGTTGTTGAGGATCAGGTGCCGCAGGTTAACCAAGCCTCTCAGATGTGCGTCCACCAGCTTGGTCAGCCTGTTACTGTCCAGGTGAAGAGCTCGCAGGCCCCGCAGGTCCCCGAAGGAGTGAGGCATGATCTGGCTGATGGTGTTCCTGGAGAGGGTCAGGTGCACCAGGCTGGTCATGTTGGCAAAGTCCCTCTTCCTGACGGAGGTGATGAAATTGTCCGTCAGCCGCAGCTCCACCGTCCTGCGGTCGATGAAGGGCGGCACGAACAGGAGCCCTGTCTTGGCACAGAGGATGGCGATGGAGGGCGATAGGTTCTGGCACACACAGCGCTTGGGGCACAGCTGGGCTGTCACTGTCACGCCCAGGACCAGCACCAGCGCACACAGCAGCAAGCTTTCCATGGTCAGTCAGATTGGCAATCCTGGGGGGAAGAGAAGAGAGCCATATTAGAACATCTTGGACGTAATTGAATTGGCTTTACAGAAGGAGAAGGAAAAAAAAACAAGACTGTCTTGCATGAGATGATACTTCTGATTACTCAGTGATGGGGCCTGGTTACACTTCACTGGCTCAGCTGTCTGTTCAACCCGCTCACCCACTGAGGTCAGAGACCTTTAAAATTCCACCCAGTCTTAGCCTCATTTGCCTCAAAGTTTACTGATTGATTGAAAAGAATGAGATAATTTCTTTCCAATGTTGTTGTTATTAATAATAATAATATGAATGTAATAGTAATAATAATCCTTGCCTTTGATATAATGACTTTCATGTCAGGAGGATGTCCCAAAGCGCTTAACAGTATATATATAATGTGGAGTGACTATGTGTTTTGGAACACCCTTTGGAACTCCATCTCACAGTCCCCTCGCCTCCTTCAAGGCTCGTCTCAAGACCCTCCTCTTTGACCGTGCCTTTGGCCACCCTTCTACCCCCACCCTCCCTGCCCTCCACCCTCCCTGATCCCAACCCCCAGCTTGGGTCCAAATCCCTGACTGTGCAGCGTCTTGAGATGTCCTCCCAACTTGAAAGGCGCTGTGCCAAAGCAACGTCCCGTTGGGAAATTAAGAGGGAATTGGGGCATTTTTCCACAGTGCTATTGACAACTGAAAATTTAAGGCAAAACGGTCCCACAGGATAAGATTAGATGGAAGTTGTGACCTTTAATATTTACCCGGCACCGGCCACTGACGGGTTAATGTGCCGTTCCTTGTTCACTCTCCTAATCAACAGGACACGAGATCAAGACAGATCCAGCAAAGGATGAAATCATTCCATCGGGATGTTTGCTGAATAGTGATCTGTTAAATCATCCCGAATGTTAGCCTGAGAGGCATGAGGGAGCTGAGGCCGACTGTCACTCACAATCCTCCCGGCGCCAGGCAGACTGCTCCTTGCGGACAAGCCAGCAGTGCCGGGCGAGGCACACGGAAACACCTCTCTCTCTCGCTCTCTCCTTCTCACTTTCACCTCTAAATGTCCCGTTGTTGCTGTGATAGCGCCGCTCTGACCGTTAAGGTGAGGGACGTGGCACAAGACACAATCAGGTCTAATCTGTTTAGCAATCTGCCTCTTCTTCCCAACCAATTCTGGGCCGTGAGTCGAGTAGGTCCCCTCCGGCATTGTGGTTTAGTTGAAACAGGAACGGTAATGGAACTGTACAACTTATTGGCCGGGATGATGGGAGTAGTGTGTCCGACTACACACACACACACAATTACATACAATTACACACACACACAAATACACACACAGTTACACACACACACAAATACATACACACAAATACACACACACACAAACACACACACACAAATACACACACACACACAAATACACACACAATTACATACACACAAATATACACACACACAGTTACACACACACACACAAATACACACACAATTACATACAAATACACACACACAAATACACACACAATTACATACACACAAATATACACACACACAAATACACAAACAATTACAAACACACAAATACACACACACACATACACACACAATTACATACATACACACACAAATACACACACAATTACATACAAATACACACACACAAATACACACACAATTACATACACACAAATATACACACACAAATACACACACAATTGCATGCACACAAATATACACACACACAACTACACACAAATATGTCTGTGTATGTCTATTTGTGTGAGAGGGGACACACTGAATAGAGAGCTCTGTCAGAGAGCTGGTGCGGGTGTGATGGGCTGAATGGCCTCCCTCTGTGCTGTAAAACTCTAGGCTTGGATGGTAATGTAGGATGTGTTCTCTCTGCTCCACAGAAGAATTGGGCAGATTTATTTTCTCGTGAGACAGCAGCAGAGTGAAGAAGATACCTCAATCGCTTGCCGCACAAACCTGAGCGCAGGCTGTAACCATGCCAACCACGTGTCATGGCCGCTTGAGATAAAGTGGATTTCAACAGGGAAAGTAAGTGAAATTCACAGGGACGGACAGACAGAGACACGGACACATCAGCTAAATACAACTACAGAGAGCAACCCCCACCCCACACTCTCTCTCACACACACACACAGTACTTGCCGTTTCCTCTCACACACAAACACACACATCCCAGATTATCTCACACACACTCACAGCCTCTCACACACACACACACACACACATACACAGTCTCGCACACACACGACAGTGACCAGTGCCCACTGTTTTGTGGACGCTGTTCCACTGAACAATCTCTCTCTCTCAGGATAGCTATGTGTCTATTTTCCTTCTGAGATAGTTGCTCAGCACCATAATCAGCCGAGCCCAGCTCATTAGAATGGTGTCTTTTCACAGAAACATATGTCCGTGAGTTAACCCTCATGAACCAAGCTCTATAAATACTCCTCACTGCAAACTGGATCTGAGCAGCAGCATCTAAACTATCACACAATACAGCCAGGAATTATCCTGCTGAGCTATCCACTTCACCAGTACTAATAATAATTAATAATTTGTGCATTTAATACAGCGCCTTTCACGTCAGGAGGGTGCCTCAAAGCACCGTCACAGAATTTTTCAAGTGGAGTCACTCTATTTAGGAACATGGGAACAGGAGGAGGCCATTGAGCCCCTCCAGCCTGTTCCGCCATTTTATAAGATCATGGCTGATCTGTACCTCAACTCCAATTACTCGCCTTTCCCCCATATCCCCTGATTCCCTGACCTAACAAACATCTATCCACCTGGACAGTGTGAATGGATCCAGCTATAGTCCACAACCTTTTGGGGAATGAAGAGTTTCACATTCCCACTAACCCTTTGGGTGTTTGTGAAAAACTGCCTCCTGATTTCACTCCTAAGTGGCCTTGTTCTAATTTTAAGCTGATGCTCCCTTGTTCTGGATTCCCTCACCCATCAGAGGAAACAGTTTCTCTGTAGCTACCCTTTACCATTTTAAAAACCCAATTAGATGTTTTGTGGGCGAACTTGCGTTTATAAAACACCTTGCAAGCGAGACAAACATCTCAAAGCACTTTACGGAGAGGATAGATGTTTGAGGGAGAATTTAAATGGATGTTGATTGAAGACACCGTCAAGGGATTTTAACGGTGGGGAGGGATGGTGCACGAGAGAGAGAGAGGATCTGATCACATTATCCCATTTAGTATAAAATTCAGGCAAGCTTTGTTTTGATCAAATAAACATTGCACAAATTCTTTAAGGTTTTGCTTGATAGTCCTAAACCATCATAGCACATTGTGCCACTTCTCTCTCTCTCCCTCTCTGTTTCTTTCTCTCCTCTCCTCCCTGTCTTATCAATCTTGTTCTTTGCACGCAATGCTCCATCTCTCTCTCTCTCTCTCTTTCTCTCTCTCTATTCCTTACTGCCAAATCAGGAATCCCTGCGGTGTGGATGAAAATGTGTCAACTCGCTGGGAGAGGGAAGAAAGGGAAGCAGAATGTGCTTTGCCGGCATTCTGTGAACAATACATATAAAATAGGACACTGCTGGTGTGTGAGAGACAGCGCAGGAAAGATCTGGGTCTCGTCCCAGGGGATGGGGCCAGGCATCACCCCGACTGCAATGCACAGAGCCTTGGGTCCTCTCCTGCCTTGACACTTGCCTGTTAATGAGCATCTCAACCTGCAGTTGGCTGGAACTGCTTTGCAATTTAGCAAAATGTCACAATACATTTCCACATCCTTCTTAAGCGATTCCACTCAGTCTTAGCTGCCAGACCATCCCTGTCTCAATTTCAAAAACCACATCATTTTGGCCAACAAAACGTAGTCACTACACTTTCCGGTGAGCACCTTCCCAACATGAAAGGCACTGTATCAAATGCAAGGATTAAAACACATAATAATAATGATCCTTCCATTTGCTATAGCACCTTATCATGTCTTCAAGACGTCTCAAAGCGCTTCAAAGCTCGGACTTCTCCTCCCTCCTCTCCTCGCCCAACCTCTCCCTCCACATCAACTCCGCCACTCACAGTCACGGCCACCCACTCGATTTGCTGATCACCCGGAGTCTCGGATGTCACCATTACCGACAAGGCCGTCTTCGATCACCACTTCACCTCCTTCACTACCTCCACCCCCTCCCCACCTCCACCAGACCCGATACCATCTTCTACCGCCCCTGGAAGAAGTTACCCCCACAATCCCTAACCGCTGCCTTGGAGTCCTCTGACCTCCTCTCCCTCTGGCCTTCATCCCTCACTGACCCCTCTTCTGCTCCCACCCTCCTCCACAACACCCTCTCCTCCACACTCGACACACTTGTCCCCATCACCTCCCGTACTGTCTCCTACTCTCGCTCCTCCCGCTGGTTCACCACCCACCTCTGCTCACTGAAGAGCCAGGTGCGGGCTGCTGAACGCACCTGCGTCAAATCTGGCCTAACGGTCCACCAACAAATCTGGGTGGACCTCCTCAAAATCTACCGCTCCACTCTAGCCTTGGCCAAGTTGTCCTTCTACTCCAGGATAATCCTGGAGGCGAAGAACAACCCCAGGCTACTGATCTCTACCACATCCCAACTCCTCCGGCCCCCCCGCCACCCTACGCAGGCCATCTCCTCCAACCTTCACTGTGAGGAGATGCTGGATTTCCTTGAATCCAAAATCAAGGGAATCCGCTCCGGGGTCACTGCCCCTCCAACTTAAACCCACCCCCATGGTGACATCATCCGCAGACATGGGGTTAACTCCCACATGTATGCGGATGACACCCAACTCTACCTTTCCTCCTCTACTCTCAACTCCTCGGCCCCCAATGTCCTGACAGCTGTCTGTCCGACATCGAGTCCTGGACAAGAGACAACTTTCTTCAGCTCAACGTGTGCAAAACTGAGGCCCTCCTGATTGGCTCACGTCAGCGCCTCCGCACCTCAGGCGCTGACAGCATCAGCATCCAAGGCCGCATTCTCCACCTCTCAAAGCCATCAGGAACCTCGGTGTTCTGTTCGACCCTGAGCTGTCCTTTCTTCCCCACATCCGCACCACAACTGGCACTGCCCTCCATCACCTCCGAAACATCGCCAGACTACGGCACTATCTCACCCCTCACGCGGCTGAAACCCTGGTTCACGCCTTTATCACCTGAAGTCCGGACTATGGGAACTCTC